CAAGTCCACTTTTCTTTTAAGAAAAAGCCATCAATATGAAAAACTAGTGAAATAAGTTGAAATTAAAAAATAAACATAGCTCTTTGAAAAATCAGACGTTTTGAAATATCAAAGTAATATTATTCTTGAAATCAGTAAATTTAATACGTTGTATTTGGGAACTTTGTGATAGCACACTTGAAAGACTTAGAAGATCCATTTACAGTAGGGTAGGTAGTTTTGTAAAAGACAAACTTCACAAACGTGGCAGTTACATATTAGTTTACAGTCATGTATTTTTGAAGATGATGATGGCTAGTGTTATAGATTAAAAAGAAAAATGTAAAAATTTCTTTGTCTGAATATATTTTTATTTTGATGAAAATCCTTTGAGCTGCTTCAGTGCAAAATATATTTCTGTATCTGTTATGTCCACAGAGCTATGGGAAGTTTGATGATGAAGCCAGGGAAGAAAAACAGCAGCGGAGCACACACAAACACGAGGCTCCCTGGCTTCTTGCCATGATACATGACATTCAATTATTTTAGTACTTTTTCATGAGAGTTTCCCTCCATCAGCTCCTCCTCCCCTCTCCACTGTTGCTTTTCTACATTTGGCACAGTTGGCCTGATTCAGCATGCGTGTTTTTTTTTTCCTCCCCCCCTGGCTTTACTTCTAATAAGCCTCAAATTCCCACTGTAAAAAGAAAGTGCTAAAACTAAAATTCTTGCAATTCCATCTTGACATTCCCACTATAACTATATAGATGTGACATTTATTTTAATGATTTGACAAAGAAAGGAACTAGAGTAGTCTACACATTGCTTCTACTATTGCTTTGATGTATGTTTGCAGAAATACTATTCATTTCCCAAAATACATTTGCACAGGAGAGAGAAGCATTAAAAGCAGCATTAAGTCCATGAATTTTTTTTTTTAATGTAAAATGAGTCAAGCTGCCTTGGACTGTTAATCCCTCATCAGAACTTTCCTTTCTAATGAATTACTACCTTGTGGGGAGAGAAAGTGTCAAATAATCATTTAAATGAACTTTTCAAATAGTTTTATTTTATTTAGTTATCTTACTTCTATGCTCTAAATGGAAGCAAATAAATAAAAGTTTTAGAACACTGCAACTCACTACTTAGGAGAAACTGCCACCTAACAACATCAGCAATAAACTGGTTGCAGAAATAATGTCAGATTCAACTTCTGATAGGAGCATCAGAATCATTTTCATAAAATAGCTCTTCCATTGTTCGCATTCAGTGATGCCAGAGGAATGATCTAGGTTTCTCCAACACATCTTAATTACAGAGAAGAAAACAGTTTTTTGGAGTCTGAGATCTGAACCAGCAATAGGTTTTGTTCACCCTCATGCTTTGCTTTCTTGATTCTTCACATTCCTTCCTTTACAGGCACCAAACCTCTTTCCCATTAAGGAGATGTAAAGAAGCAGCAGGCTACATAATGCCCAGAGATCAGAAAGTGCTAAAATCCTGGGATGTCCAAAATATTTTTAGGCATTTTTAAGAAGTAATGAATTCCTACCTCTGTTGCACTCTACCCTAACTTGAACCACCTCCTGTAAATGCTGGTTCCCATCTGCAAGGTTCAGATACAAAGGAAACAAACAAGGTATACAGCAACTTATTTGGAGTAAAATTCTTACTGATGTGAAAGAGGGAGAGCTGGATCTTCTTTTAGATCCCTAGTTCCGAATATGGACAGAGATGAACAACAGTCTCTCAAAGGTGAAGTAGAAAGGTCAAGTGAAAAAGGAAATGGAAGCCTGGAGATGACTGACTAGCTGAGCCTGTGAAGAAAAAAATCCCAACTAGAACATGACTTAATAAACTGGGTCTTGCCAGCTGATCACTCCTCAGAATTCTTATCCCCGGGTGGGGGGCCACAGGCAGACTGGTTGGATTAGGAAGGTTGGAATGGGGTAAAGATCATAAAAGGCAAGGTTAAAAAAGAGTTAGGACTCATGATGGTTCTGGTGGAGTAGCAGAAAGCATTTATCAAAGTGTTATGGTCAATTTCCAAGGTTTTCCTCAAAACATCAGGCAGAAAAAGCTCAGGTAATTCTCAGGAAAGGCCAGCTGACCTCCAATTTGATTTCTTCTCCCTTCTTGTGACTTCTAGAAATCACTTTATTATTATTGTTTTAATTAGTAGTATTTTCAATTTAATATTAGGGTTCCAATGGCTAGAACTGTGTCATTACTATAAACTCGATCTCAACCTCTCAAAATCCACTTAATGCAGCTCTTGGCAACCAAAGACTCAGTTTCTTGCCAAAAACTGCAGATTAAGCATTTGTTATGGGAGTTCGCCATTAACTGTTCCCTCTGTTATGGGTACATGTGGTTACATATCACAAAACACACGGGATTCCTTGTAATGGATTTGCGTTTCTAGGAGGCTTCAGAGATATTAAGTGGGGTGGGTGACACCTTGACACTCCACTCCTTCAACCACCACCATTACAAGTGGGTTTTGGGTATTGGGGTGGGAACAGGTTTAGTAGGCAGATGTTGTCCTGGGCTACACTGTAGTTTCCTCTAGGAGTTGGACTTTCACTGATATATAAGTACTCCAGAGCTTGCATCATATGTCTTTCATTTGAGACACCGAATATTTTTCAGAGAATTTAGTGCTCTTAAAACATATTTATAAACAAGCCGACATAGCTCTAAGACATAACTAAGTTTACTAACTAGGAAACCTTTGTCTATTTCCTCAAGTAAGCAATAGATTTTCTTGCTACTTTGAGTTTTTGAAAAACCCATTAAACGACTATTGCCTTAGCTTTTCCCGTTTTCATTAGAGAAAGTCAGACATCTGGAATGCCTGAAAGTAATACAAATATAAATGGGCATGGGAGATCATCACTGAAAATCTTCGACCCGCCCAGGAGTGTGTGGCTAATTCAACACCCAAGTTTTCTAAAATGGCTGGCCAAGAACCCTCTAGAAAGTGTCCAGGACATGCCATAACAGCTCCTCCTCCTTAAGCAAGGTCGAAATGCTTCCGGGCAAGCTGTCGCGTGCGTTTTCTTGGCTTCCCCCTGACCCCCAAGCCTTGGCCTCACCATGCAGAGGATGCCTGGCTTTGAGTTCGCTCCACGATGCAGCCTGCTTTGTCCTTGAGCGAAGTTCCCCCAGCCCTTTTTCTTTGACCTACCTAACCCCTTTGAGATTCGACAATTCGTGTTGGTGCTAAGATGCTGAGGAGCTAGTAATTAATAATATAGCAGAAGCTGTTTCAACCCGGAATAGTGTCAACTCCCAGAGCCTGAGTGCACGCTCAATGCTACGCTGAGCGAGGCTCCACGTGAATCGATTGTATGTGTCCCTCCTCTGGAAATCTGTCTCGAGTGGACGTTGGGCCGAGCCTGAGTCTACAAGGCTTGCTCCCGGCCCATCCGCTCAGGTTTTACCCCGCGGAATCAGTTTTTATTGCCGGCCCCGCCTTAAGGCAGTACTGAGAAGCTCCTCTGACATGCAGGACTCTCCGTGACTTTTTCTCCCAGGCTGTGGCCTGGTCGGGCCTCAAAGAGGGTCTCACCTGTGAGGTGTGGATCAACCAAGACCCCGATGTGGGCAGAAATTCCCGAACCCATTCGGAAGCCCGCCAGTGTTGGGCTTGGCTTCGCCATCCCCAAGTCGGGGTTACCAGGCATGCCCAAGGCCGCGGCATAATTGCCGGTCCGGTCGGTCCGGAGAAGCGTGACCTCTGTTGTGAGGGCCTGTGTCCAGAAAGGTTACGTCAGGACCCATCAGCAAAGACTCCCTGGTCCAAATCTTGTGCGGGTTTTTCAACATGTTTGTCCGCCTAAGGGGCCCATTGGAAACAGCTGCTTTTTAGTGCCCAAACACTAAACGCACTTCTCTCTGATGCTTCAGGGTCCTAGGAAGCTGGAGTCCGGCCCAAAGCCACACAGTGAAGTTTTTAACTCCGCCTGGCTGCCCTACCCTTCTACCTTCCTCCCGCTTAAGGTAGAACAGAGGTCCTGGTCCACAGAGGGCGCCCGGCTTCGCAAGCGCGCGGGAGCCACTGGCTTCCCCTCATGCGCTTTTCGAGTAACTCCACCTGGACTCATTAAAAGCATCAATACCAATAAAATAAAATAAATAAAAAACACAATAAGGTCTTCCTCCTCCTCATAAAACAGTTTGAATAGTGAACCTCCCTCTGTCCTAGACCAAAGGCTTTGGGGAGGCACTTGTCAAGGGGTTTGGTTAAAATACTTTTGGTCTAATGGACCAAGGGGAGGGGTGGGTAGGAGGTGGTGTGGAAATCGGTTGGTATTGGTATAAATTGAATCGTTTCAATGCCTCTTGCTCACCTTCCCTGTCCCATGCCGCTGCATTCCAGAAAAAAAAGAAAAAGGACACGGCCTGGTAAAGAGCTGAGACCGCCCAGACGCCTCGCTCCTCTGGGTTAGAAGCAGAAGCGGCCCCTTTACCACCGCTTTCCCAGTTAAAACAGCTGCCCACGTATCCGGCTTCTTGGGCTTCATATTAATGTGGATCTTCCACGTAAACGATTTACGGATGAAATAAAAGCCCTTTAGAGCAATACTTCCTTTCAAGTTCTTAAGATGCCTCTAAATCTTTCTGGTAGTGAGTGGCTGGCGTGGGGGCGGGGTGGAGACCCGGTGTGGGGCGGGTGCTCCGGGAGGGTGCCGAGAGAGGGGAGTGGAGGGTTAACTGCTTTGCGATCTCACCAAGCTCTTCCGAAATGCCAGTCCACTGTTGCGGCGGCGACAATATTTCTGGGTGTTGGGGCCTTGTCTCTTCTGGTATTTGTCTGAAATGGAACTGTCTGTCTAACCCAGGCCTGGACGCACCCTGCCTGGGTAAGTGGGGAAGATGGGGGTGGGGTGGGGGCGGAGGGGGCCCCGGGGTGGAGTTTGTCGCCTGCTTATTTTCATATTCATTAGAACTGGGAGGTTGCCCAAGGAGCCCAGCTGAGTTTCAAGATATAAAAGCAACTTCGGGTGCCCCCTTTCCAGCCCTTATGTATTAAAGGGCTCGAAGTCGGGCAGCTCCCGGCGTCGCAGGGTTGGCTTCCCCTTCCCTCCTCTCTGGCCCTCCCTCCTCCCGCCCACTCGCTCCCTCCCCCAGCGCTCTCCAGCCCCGGCGCCCCGAGAACTCCGAAACAGCCTTCCAGGATTATGGAGTTTCTGAGCGAGAAGTTTGCCCTTAAGAGCCCGCCAAGTAAAAACAGTGACTTTTACATGGGCGCAGGAGGCGCGTTGGAGCACGTTATGGAGACGCTGGACAATGAGTCCTTTTACAGCAAAGCGTCGGCAGGCAAATGCGTGCAGGCCTTTGGGCCCCTGCCGCGAGCCGAACATCACGTGCGCTTGGAGAGGACCTCACCCTGTCAGGACAGCAGCGGTGAGTAGTCAGCGCCCCAGCTCCAGCCCCAGTAGCGGCATCCCTCCGCAAATCTGAAAAGTGGGACCCTTCAGGATAGGCAGAGAGCGAAGGAGAAAGAAAAGAAGGAAAGAGAAAGAGCGAGCTAAGGGAGTCAAGCGTAACTGTGCGCGCTTTAGCAAGCGGCGTTATCGCTGCAGCCGTCTTTTGCTGGGCAAAGGAATTAGAGAACCCGGTTACCTCCACGTGATTCTCATTTCACTGTTGGGTAGCCCAAGTTATAGGTTAGCGCGTCTCTAACCAGGATCCCAGCGTAAACTGATGGGGCGCTAAAGAAAGCGTAATTGAGTCTAGATAGCGCGCTTCCTCTGTGAACCAGCCGCGCTGCTGGCCGGGAGGAGATGAAATCGATCACAGCTCCTTAGAAGACGTCACTGTCCTCTGGGGTGAAAATAAGAGATCTTTGAGCACCTTTAGGTGATAAACTTTTTATTGTCCAAGGCGTGGCGAATTTTTTCATTGTGAGGTTGGGGAGTATTGCTAGATAATTAGATTGTGTGGATTTCTGCTTTTATGCAACGCAACATATGTAGATTTTTGTTTAATACCAAATCACTTTAGATAGCTTGGGGCAAAAAATCATTGGTGTATAATCTCTTACTCTAGGATTTGTGTTGTCCATTTTTCTGACTCCTTATGAAAAGACTCCTAAGAAGCCTCTCGGAATGCTTCTGGGTGAAATCTTCAACTTTGAATGCCCAAATATCTCAAAGTCAAAATGTTATCAAAACAAACCATCTATCTTTTCTATCTTGTAACCCAATACAAACCTATTATTTCAGATCGCGACAGCTAAAGCACGTTTACAATTCCAAGAGGACTTTTCCTTATCATTGTATATATTCCACAGTTAAGCTGTAAGAAGTGGGTTGCTTTAAAATAACAAACGAATTAAGTGTGAAATATTTATAACAAGCCTCCACCGTCTATTTTATTGGAAGTTCCAAAATCTGGCAAGACACTGGCTTTGTAGAAGAAGCTCATTGACTAAATACTTTGTACCGAAGTTTTAAATAAATCTCATGTTTTACTTATTTTATCCAGTTTGGCGAGCTACTCTTGACTTGTAAGGGTAAAACAAAATTAGAAGCGCAAGTGAGAGAGAAAATAATGGTTGTCATTTCAATCTTCTATTTTAAAGACGTGGAGTTTTTAATACATTAAATTTAAATTATTGACTGTATTTTTGAAATTCTCAGATGTTTACTGAACTTATTTGACTTGACGGGACTTTAATAGTTCTGCATTGTCCGGTGTTGACGGCTAGATGAACTCAATCATTTTTCAAATTGTCGGGAATCCAAAATTAGAAGAGAAATAGGTGATTTTTGATACTTTGCTAACTTTTAACCGAATATCACACTATTAGGATGAATTTTGACAAGAAAGTATTGAGTGAGATGAACACGGGCAGCTTTCTGCTTAATTTAGGAAAGATCCTGTCTTTCTCCTGAGATGCCCTTAGCCACTCCATGGCTTCCCCTCCCCCATCCCTAATTGCCGCAGTTCCTAGTTTAACTCAGTCCACGGAGACAAAACCGTATTGTTCATCAGTCAAGCCCCTTTTTAAAATTTAATTTTATATCACATCTTACTTTGCATAAAAGCTATTAGGAATTAAGTTACATAAGCATTAAAGTCGAATATATTTTCATAATAAGACAGTTCTTAAAATATAAGGAATAATTTAAAAAACAGAAACAAATGAAAAAAGTATGATCATCCTTTGGAAGTTTCTGTTTTGACTGGATTGATTTTACGTTTTAAAAAATGCCTACCATTTCCTTATGTGCATTCATTGTTATTTTTGTGTGTGGCATCATATGATATATATATATTTTTTGTTTTATATTGCATGCATGCAATCAAATATGAAGAAAATTACTGGAATTAAAATACCACATAACATAATGCCAGATGTCATCCTTTGTAATATTTTAATAGATGTTTTAATTTCTATGCGTTCATAGAAGAGACAATAAAACTTTGTCCTAAAACATATTACATGAGTTAAACAGAAAAATGGGATATTTAAGAAAGAGCCACAAGATGAGTTTTTAAGGTAAAGATGTATACTTAAATATTATTATTTTCTATACTAAACATTTTAATAAATTGATAGAAATTTTATTTTTTCAATTTAGTAGATTGCTTTTTGAAAGAAATTTAAATTCAGACATGAGTATTCAGTTGAAATATTCAAAATGCCCCATTTAAATCTACAAGCAATAAGTTTTGTGTGGAGGGGAAAATAACGTGTGGAAATAGGTATGTACGTATTATTTTAAATTGGGATATATATTTTTTGAACCTTGCAAGTGGCTTAATTATGTCTGAAAAACATACCAAGTTCAGTTCACTTTTCAAAAATCATGGTCACTTTAGGTTTTTCTTTTTTACGTCTAGAGCATCATTCAATTTGATTACATTAACTTGATTATATGTTATATGTATGAACCTTACATTAACCTTATAAAATACAACTGTGGATTCCATAAATTATTAATTCAATGTTCACATTTTAAAATGATTTTTTAAACCTGTTCCACAGCGAATTAATAATTTTACATAATGTGATCATCCAATTAATACTGGCACAATAAATCATTAACAGAACTACATCCTGATGCTCTAAATGGCTTTGACTTAATTCTTAACATTAAGATGTGCTTGACAATCCTGAGAACTGCTATTTTCCCCTCTGGATACAGTGAACTATGGGATCGCCAAAGTAGAAGGCCAGCCCCTTCACACCGAACTGAATAGAGCTATGGACAACTGCAGCAATCTCCGGATGTCTCCCGTGAAAGGGATGCCAGAGAAGGGAGAACTGGATGAACTTGGGGATAAATGTGACAGCAACGTGTCTAGCAGTAAAAAGCGGAGACATAGAACCACCTTCACCAGTTTGCAGCTGGAGGAACTGGAGAAGGTCTTTCAGAAAACCCATTACCCGGATGTATACGTCAGAGAACAGCTCGCTCTGAGAACAGAACTCACAGAGGCCAGAGTCCAGGTAGGAGCCAATTGGAGGCCTTGTTGGGGTGGTAATCAAAAGAAGAATAGTTTGAGAATAATTGCATTTTGTCACAAGTGAAGAAACTGATTCTGGAGCTGAAGATATAGAACAATGTAATATATAAGTCCATTAAAAAAAAAACCCTTTTTACTTGCAAAAAAACTGAAAACTCAAAACATAACAAAACCAGTTATTATACAGGCATATAAATTAACACTCACTTAAAAAGAACATAATTTGATAACATTTCTCTAATTTAAAAACATAAATTTTAAAAGTAAAAAACTATAATTATGGCTTTAGGTAATCAATAAATTTGTTTTTCTGTTTTATCAGCCACTGAAATTCCTCTTAGTTTATATACCAAGTACTTGTGAATTATTTTTATAATAGCACACAAATCTAGTTTTTCTTGGAATGGGGTTTTCATAAAAGAAAAAAAATGAAACAATCCCACAAACTTTCAATTCTTATGTGTATATACCATAAGATATTTTCACTGACATAATTAAAGAAATACAAGATAGCTCATTTACCATTTTTTGGTCTCAGTAGTTGTCAATAATGTGTTCTGATTTCTAAAATTTAGATAATTATATAGTTTTTACAGAGTAAATAATGAGTATGTACTTAAAGTGAATTTTTGTATATACTCAGTTATTTCAAATTATCAAAATCAGATGATTCAATGTGCTTAAATTTTTAATAATTTGAAGTAGAAAATTTATACTAAGTGAAAATACTACTACCCTTAGTAGTATTTTTTTTTGCTAGATTTGACATTCTCAAATTACATTTTATTAGTTCCCAAGTAATAAATAAAAGCTTTAAATGAATCAGTAATTCAGGAGAGTGTTTTTTTTCCTTTGTGTGTATATTTTTACTTTAATTAATTAGGAAAATACTGTATTCTTCAATTCTGATAAGCCACCATAACGGAAAAATGAACAAATAGTGACAAATTTTGTTCTGAGTGCAGTGAAGTAAATGTAAGTCTCCATACATTGTAAGTCTCCATACATCATTAAAGACAACATCTGGTGGTGCAGGGATAACAAGCAGCAGATTTTTGCTTGAGTTTTTGGAAGTAAATGGTTATTTTATCTTAGTTCAGGAAATAAAAATCTAGAAAGTTGTACTAAAAAAGAATTTTAGAATTGTCAAGTATTAACACGAGGCCTTTATGTGTGTTTTTCGGTTTTGTGTCATATATATTTAAATTAGTTATACTTGTAACCATAGAAAAAGATATTTACATACAGAGTGATCAGCTGGGTGTAATGCATGTTTTCCCCTTAAGTCCTGATTAATTTTTGTCTGAGAACATGTACAGGGAGCCAACCTGAACCTAATTTACTCAGGTTGTTCCCTTTCCTGCTGTTACATTAGAGTGGTAATTAGCACCCATCTTAAGGAGAGCACCAAGGTCTTTTTGAAAATCAGAAAAACAAACCCCCCAAAACCTTCATTACTAAATTCCCTTCATACATTTTTGATGCCCATTTGTAGAGACAGAAAGAAAATGTGATTTGTTTTGTTGCCTCAAGCTCTGGGTATAATGGATAATAGACATTGTACTAAGTAACATACTAAACAAGTTATCTTTTTATTTTTATCTTGTTTTAATTGTGAAAACTCTTCAATATGTCATCTTAAATTTCCAATATATACTTGACTATCATATTGTGTATTAACAGGTAGCCAAAATTATGAAGGTATAAAGATATAGAAGATTAGAATTGAGTATGAAAGACAATGTAAAATTTTCAACTAAATTTTACTGAAAGACTTTTGACATTTTGCATTTTTGTGTTTAATTTCCAGTTTCTTAATATTTTATATTTTGCACATAGTAGTGTAAAGAAGATGAAAGAGATTCCTGAAATCTTCTTGTATAATGTCTACTCAAAAATATCAAAGTTTTCCTATTGAATATAATTTATTGTATCTCCCTTGAATACATTAAAATATTAAATGAAGATTTTTTTGAGAGCTAGAAATGTGAATTAAAACATTCTTAGGAAGGTGGTTCATTGGATAAATATTTCTAATATATAATTAGAGAAATTATGGAAGATGTAGGCCACACTAACTTACTGGAATTCTTGACACTTGGTTCTGTCCACCCTATTTATTTTATTATTTATATTACCTGTAAGTGTTTTAAATTAGAGGTATGATTGTGAAAATATTCGAGCATTTTCTATAAGGAAAAATAAATGGTATACTTTATGTAATAAGTACATTTATGTATTTTAAAATGACATTTCAATTTTACATGATTATATTTTACCTATAGTCCTTACCATATTCAATGTAATGTCTTCTGTTTTTCTATTTCTAAATATTTAAGACATTTCCACTAAAGCTGTATATTTTATATGCAATCTTTGTTTAATTTTTATAATATTATCTAAATATAGGTACATCCCAGAACAATCTTCATTTTGTGATATGTTTTTAAGATAATTTTAAATAGATATTTATTTGGTCATAGATTGGCTGAGTTTATGTTGTTGCATTCCCCAAACTAAAAAGCTATGATTATCTCCCAGACTTTAATATTCTCTTGGAAGCAGATTATCCATGATAATGTTGAAACAAAGAATCTTCAGGATCATATATAATCTAATCCCTTTTCATTTTCTAGAGATGATACAATGAAATACGTTAGAGGCACTAACATATCAAATAAATTTGCTGAAATCCTAATGGCTCTTTTTATTAAATTTTATTTCGTCACCCACACACTACTTATCACATCAGGGTATGAGAGAAAGTATCCTTCTGTGACATAAGAAATTCTTTTCTTAGTGATTTTATTGATGTGGTTTTCCTTTCTGGTTTGAAATCTTTTAATAGCAAATTTGCTTTATCAAATACTCCTTATATGAAATTTCACTTTTTTAAAAAAACTAGGTTTGGTTTCAAAATCGAAGGGCCAAGTGGAGAAAAAGGGAACGTTATGGCCAAATACAACAAGCTAAAAGCCATTTTGCTGCGACCTACGATATATCAGTTTTGCCAAGAACTGACAGCTACCCACAGGTATGGTAAATTACAGTTTGCTGATCAAGAAAAGTAGATGTTATAAATTCTTCAAAAGGTGAGCATAGGTTTTATTATACCTAATGCAATAGTCAATAATGACAGTTCAATTTCTAGTTAACCTTTTTCATATTTGTTAAAATTTGTTTTTATTAAAAGATTTATTTTGTGATTATTTTCTTTCAGCCATTCACATAAAAATATTACATGATCTCTTCCTTATGGATTTTTTTTATACACTAATAAATGAAATATTGTTTCATTGAAGAAGCCTCTAAATTGTATCTACATTTAAGTACTCAGGCTTTCTTCCTTTGCTAATTTTTAAAAACAATAGTGTTGCCCTCAGGGTGGCTACTGTTTCATGGACTGTGTTGAAACCTGGTGTCAAATGTGGCCTTTAATTCCTTTATTCTACTTAAAAATCTCTCTTCTATGTTTTTTTTTTTCAGATTTGATATTTTTAATTGTGTCAAGGACACATGTGATCCTTATGACTTATAAATATAATTTTCAGAAATTAACCATGCATAGGAAATATTGCTTTCATCGTGGGATATCTTTTACATTATTTCAAAAGCATTAGTAATTCTTTTTCTTCTTATTTTCCTTTTAATTAAGAGTATATTTTCTTTTTTCATACCTTGTGATATATATACTTGTAAATGTATTTCATATTTCTAGTGTATTTCATATTATATTATTTTCCCTGATACTGAATAATGATATTCAGAACTGTATTTTGATATATGATAAGGATCATGCATATTATAAGGAAGAGGCAATGCTTTTATTTCATTACTTGGTGATATGAATCCTAAAGGACCTCTGTGAAAAAATGACACATATGCAAAAGGGACACTGTGACAGTTAAGTGACTAGGTCATCCAGCCATTTATGGAAGGGTTTTCATTTCCTATAAAGGTCAATTCATACCCTGTGAGTGTGAATTCAATCCTTTAATGTGCCTTCCTAGTGTTCTTGTCTTTTATGTTCCTAAAAACCCATTTTGGGAACTTCACTCCTCCAGACCAATTCACCATATTTACTAAAGTAATACTACATGTTAAAAAAGCCTCAGAGAGCACCTTGTTCAAAATCCTCATTTTAAAAGAGTAACAGACCAAGTTGAGTTAAGGAATTGGTCTATGATTGCACCAGTGGCTCTTTCAGGGGCAGTGTCTAAAGAGCTGCTATATAGCTCAACTGTCCAAGCACTGTGGAAACCAATGTAGATATCCCATGCCAGTCAAAAGAAGTGTCTTGTTTCTGTTTTACAATTTATCTTAAAGCGTAAGTATACTTATGGTTACTTATCATCATAGGGCTAGGGAAATTTTGTTCACCACACATTGTGTGTCTTAGTTGAGTTTGAAACAAAATAAATGCTCTGTGCGTGTTTCTCCTTTGGGCCACAAGCTCCATGAAGACAGGGATTGTAGCATCTTACAGTTAACACCACAGTGACCCTCATCCTATGTCCAGGCACTGTTCTAAACAAGTCACATTAACTTATTTAATCCTCCCAACAACCTTATGGGATAGGTGTTAATCAAATATCTGTTTCTCAGTTGAGGAAACTGAGGCACAGAGAGGGGAGGTATTAACTCACTTTCACTAGTGATGAACCCCAGATGTGACCAGAACAACCTTGCCTGCCAAGAGCAAGATCTTAACCCATACACTAGACTGTTTCTCCCAGTGAATATATTTGAATGATTAATAAATTTATACCGAAAAAGCCTAAGGCTTGAATTGCATTGTTCAAGTCTGAAATTTAGTTCAAAGAAGCAGGAAATGTATCCACAACCAGTGAAATAATAAAAAGGAAAATTCAGATGGACCTTATTGTTTTTAAGAAACTATGAACTCTTATCAAATGGACTTTAAACAGTCTTAATGTTTATTGCACAACACTTGACTGATAGACCTTTTTTTCCTTTTTACTGCATCTTATTCTTTCAATCTTTATTCCTTTACTTTTAAATCCCATTTCTATTTTTCACTTCTTAGCTGTTTGTTGGTTGCTTTATCTCTGATTCCTTTCTTTGATGTTTTATAAAGCATTTAGAGTAAAATCTGCCACAAATTAAAATGTGTATAAGGGCTTAATATACTCTGACTGGTCATCCCTTTTTATTGGATATTTTCTCATGTGTTATTGTGCTTCAGAGTTTAGATATCAATTAATAATTTAAGGTAACCTAGTAGCTAAGGAAAGAAAGGAAATGGTACATCAAATTATACACTTGATAGTATTTTTTTTACTCCATCATGGATTAATTGAAAAATTTCTGGGCACAAATCATGGGAATTTTGTAACAATTATTCTCCTGTGTCTTCTCCATACTTTGTGGATGTTGGTTGTACCAAAGTATGGGAACAAAGAGAAATTATGTTGAATTTGTTTTGATAGTAGAATTCATGAATAAGAATAAAAAGGATAGCTGCAAAATTTGTACTATACTCTTGTATTGGTAAGTCACTTTGTGTTTGGTTGTCAAAAATTCTGAAATGAACTACATGTACCTCCTCTGTATAGATTTTGGATAAATCTAGGGGACATTTCTCTTTAAGGTAAAAGTACATGGTAGACTATTTAGTTTAGTTGAAAAAAAAATAATTATGTCAAGCTTCAGCCTACAGGATTTTTTTTTAATCATTAGGCTTGAAAATAGAAACATAATGGGAGAAATAGGAATGGAAATAGAATCCAACAACTCAATGCAATTAGACATTGAATTTGGTTACTGTTACTAATTACAGAAAAAAAAATATTAACTGCAGAAAAGTTGGAAACTAGAAAATGTTGAAGGCAGCACAGAAATAAAAAATTAACAATTTGGCTGGAAAGCAAAAACATACACAGAAATACATGAAAAACAGAGATGGTTTAGAAAATGTTCTCCTCAAGCCTGCTCAGTGTGGATAATCATTGTATCCAATGTACAGACTTCTATATATAACATGTAATGTGTTTATTTATGAATAGTAATGAATGCTTACTAAAATGTTTTAAATGCTTTGTTTCAAATGGTTTTTATTACACTGCAGTAACAAAAGCCATAGCAGTAAAAATAGTAAAAATTGGGGGCTTATTTTAAGACAGGAACTGTGCATCCTTATTAAGGCCTTTAACTCATTTAATTTGAAGCCAGATTTTCTGAATTCAGAAGTCCAGGGCTCTTTTGCCACATTGTCTTCTTAATTCAGCAACTGAATGGAATTGTTCAATTTTGACCCTAAGACATTGCATCACTTTGGAAACCAAAAATGCTTTCATTTAAAAAAATACATAAGATGATGATTTAAACTATTTAAAAAGTCTTGACACTGACACCTGTTAGACTCTTTTTGGTATTTTTCTTAGGCCTGCTATCTATTGACAGTGAATAAATAAGAAAATGAGAGTTGTGGCATCCACAGTAATGAACTTTGAGGTAGTATATTTTTATGTAATGAGTATGTTAGTTGAATAAAGAAAAGTTCTTTATTTTGACCCACACTATCACTTACCATTTGACAGCATTAGCTAAATTAAAATATCTGATGTTGTTCCAGTTGTATCATTTTTAAAAACATTGTCATTGTTTGTGCTGAGTCTGTCTCCTTTATCTTAAATTCCCTTCCATTCATCTAAACCATAGTTATATCTTGAAGCTTCTACATCCTCTCTCCATCAGCACATCATTTTCTCATGGGTTCTGTGGTGGGTTGTATAAAAGGTCTCTCCCCTATTTACAATGTAAAGTATTAAAATATGAACAACTTCTTATCACCTTTGTATCACTATATTATCAAGTAAGTTACACAGTCACTGAATAGAAATAAACTTAAGTACTGACTTACTTCAATAGTTTTTTGGTAGTACCTTATTTAAAAAGTAATCAATTTTCAATGAAATAGCTTGTTTTTGAATCTCTGTTAGTAACCAGCACTATGGTCTTAAGCAATTAAATTTCCCTCAATTTTCTTCTCTAACAGACTAGCCAGGTTTTGCAGATCCCTTTCAGCTTAGCTTTTTCTCTTCCAACATTATTTGTATTTATCAACAGATATTTGATAGGTACTGGTTTGGGCATAATGGAATGTTTGCATTATAGACAGATAATAAACTAGGTAATGTTTGTATTAAATTCTGAAAGCACTGCTTGGTGCAAACTGATCAGAGACCAAAATAATGTTGACCTTGAATTTAATAAGCAAGCAAGGATATATCAACTTTAAAATCAAAGCATTTTAAAGTTAATTTTTTTAGTGAATTAAATATTCTTGAATGTTTTCTGGAAGCTTGTAGCCAACCTTCATTCTTACAGGTAATGTTCTTTTCATGCTGTTGATTTGGTTTGGATTATATGAGCATTAGCTTGATTATGTACTAGCTAGATGACTTGGATCAGTCCCTTGATTTCCTTGCTTTTCAGATTTCTTATTTTTCAAATGGAGCTATTGTTGGTATTAGTGTTGGAGGTGTTGGTAATGTAGATGATGAGGAGGATGATTATTTATTTATTTTGTTGATTGTGAGGATTAAATAGATTTCTCAATTGAAAAACCCTGTGTTTACAGTCTATGGAGCTGAATTTAAGAACTTGAGGAGAGCTAGGGGTTTAATGTAAGGATTATGAACATCAGTTAGGGAGTCTTTGGTTCAAACCTAACTTTGCCACTTTATAGCTTTCAGACCTCTGGCAAATGAATTAACAAATAGGAACATTTTTCCTTATTTATAAAATTAGGAAAAAGTTTATGTAATGTATGTGAGTGTTGAACATAATAGTTGATGCAAGTCCTCAGAACATTGTATGGTATATAGTAAGTTCTTGATAAATGTGGAGATTACATAGTATCCATTAGCCAATTTTAATTTTGTTCTAAAGTACTTACCTCTCATTTGAGTGTTCTCTCATGCTGTAGCATTTAAGCTAATCTAAGCTATGAATAAATTTAATTTTTAAGGATCTAGGGAAAGATCACATTCAGTTAAATATACTTTGCAC